ATCATTACCGAAATCTGTAATTTCATTAAAGGTCTATTATTTTACTTCTGTCTTTTCATTTTTAGTTGGAATACCTCTATAGTAAGAAAATTCCCCTTTTAACAAGTACCACGTTACACTGCAATGTAACTATATATATAAGGGAAGACCAGTTAAATGCTCAGCTCTTTTCCTTAATTTACTAGTTTTCACAATTAGTTCCATAATCAAAAGTGGGGAAATTAGGTTTCTTGGTTGTCACTGTGAACTCATGGATTTCAACTTAATGTTTCACTTCATTGCAACTTTTCTTAGTGATACTCAAATTGTTCTAACCTTGGTGTGAGAGCCTCTTCCTGTTGGCTCTTAAATCCTTTTGACAAAACCCCAGTAGTCTATGTTACTTTCTTTGCTTACTGATATAACAAGATGTTCCAGGCTCACCTTGTTCATTTGTGCTTCAGTCCAAGAAACAACTACTTACTTTATCTGTTATCTTACTTATTTAACATCCCTGTCTCCCCTGCACCCCCACAAAAGACCATAAATATAAGAACTGAATTACATCTAAAAATTTTCAGCACTTGTCTCAGTGCTGGACCAAAAAAGTGGCATGCAATAAATATTTATGGAATTCAACTAAAAGATTAGCCTCTGTCTAGCTCTTCTACAGGTGTCTCTATTGAGTCAAACAAGGCACCACTGGCAACTGGCAGAATTAAGCACTTGCCTCTTCAGGTGGGTCAAGGGCAGGGTTCAGGCTCTCCCTATAAATACTCTTATATGCTAGAGGTAGACCCCAGCTAATGAGCTCTCCCTAGAACAGGTATTCTCACACACACACACCTTTTTTATACTGAGAGAATGAGAAAAACTAAGTTTCAGTTCTCCATGGGCCTTATTTTCTTAAGGAGGAAATCATTACAGAGTAAAGCATTAATGGCCAGTATCTGCTTAATTTAACAAGACTACAAATTCATGTAAAGATGTCTGATCCTCTAGAGAGGAAACTGTCATTCCTTAGCTGCAGTCCCCCCTCCAACTGAAGAATTACATTTCACCACTAGGTGTCCACAGGGGAACAAAGGATACCTTACACTTGCCCATTCCAAGTCCCTTTCACACACACTGCACTCCATAAACAACTTGTCCTAGGTCAATTTATAAAAACCTTAAATCTTGTTTTATGTTGTACTACTACAGCTTAGGTCTTCATTTATTGTAACTTATATCCTGGCCGGGCGCAGTGGCTCACACCTGTAATCCTAGCACTTTGGGAGGCCGAGACAGGTGGATCACAAGGTCAGGAGTTCAAGACCAGCATGGCCAATATGGTGAAACCCCGTCTCTACTAAAAATACAAAAATTAGCCGGGCGTGGTGGTGCGTACCTGTAGTCCCAGCAACTCAGGAGGCTGAGGCAGGAGAATCACTCTCTTGAACCCGGGAGGCAGAGGTTGCAGTAAACAGATCACGCCACTGACTCCAGCCTGGATGACAGAACAAGACTACGTCTCAAAAAAAAAAAAAAAAAAAAAAAAAGAGAGAAAACTTTCCTCTAACAACCATACTGACTTCCAGAAGAGTCAAAGATAGCCCTTTAGCAAATCTCACCACAACCATCCCTTCCTTCATCTTGGCTACTCTTTTTTTTTTTCTGAACTCCAGTGATCCTCCTGAGTAGATAGGGACTACAGGTGTGCACCACCATGCCCAGCTAAATTTTGTAGTATAGATGAGGTCTCGCTAGGTTGCTCAGTCTGTACTCCAACTCCTGAGTTCAAGCAATCCTTCTGCTTTGGCCTCCCAAGGTCCTAGGATTACAGGCATCAGTCACTGTGTGTGGTCTATCTTCATAACTCTTAAACTTATCTTCACATTAGTAACCAATAACCTCATTCTGTAGCTATTTTTTGGGGGAAAGGGTCTTGCTCTCTCATCCAGGCTGGAGTGCAGTGATCACAGCTCACTGCAACTTCAAACTCCTGGGCTCCAGTGATCTTCCTGCCTCAGCCTCCTCAGTAGCTGGGACTAGTGGCACATGCTGCTGTGCCTGGCTGATTTTTTTTTTCTTCTTTTTGTAGAGACCAGGTCTCTCTAAGCACAAAGACTTATTTCTGCTTTCAACATCAAAACATAACAGGCCTGCAATCCCAAGCACTTTGGGAGGCTGAGGCAGGTGGGTCACGTGGGGTCAGGAGTTCGAGATCAGCCTGGGCAATATGGTGAAACCCTATCTCTACTAAAAATACAAAAATTAGCCAGGCATCATGGTCTATGCCTGTGGTCCCAGCTACTAGGGAGGCTGAGGTGGAAGGATCACTTAAGCCCTGGAGTCGAGGTTGCAGTGAGTCATTATTGCACCACTGTACTCCAGCCTGGGCAACAGTGAGACCCTGAATCAAAAAAAAAAAAACGAAACAAAAACTTACCTACCCCCACCTAATTGGCTAGGAACATCACCTATATCCCAATATCTAACTTTGTTATTGTTTGAGCTGAGGAGGAAGTTCTGAGATCATACAGAACAATTTATTTTTCAGACAGTCTGTGTGCTTAGAGAGGTTATATATTCTGTTCTCACCATTTAGGAGTTTGAAAAATCTGTATCACTTTTATATCACAGAACATTCCTCCTCAACAATGAATCGTCATGGTCCCATTTAAAAAGCCTTGATGCAGGCACTACCATCCGTGCTCCATACCTCCCAAATCTCTTCAGGTAGATAACTATCCCAGCTTTTGCTTTTAATGCACTGATTTCTAATTCTAAATGCAGAGATGGTGAATTAGCAGCAACTAGGCCAAGAGCTTTTGGGGCTACCTGGGCCTGCAATTGTCTAAGAAATAGGAAATTCAGAGACTGACAAACAGCAGTCCTACTTGGGATGTCATCATGCTTACTTCAGGCTGAATCACACAGAAGCAAGCCTTCAAGCATGGACCTGAAGCAATGCTGTAAACACAAACATCAAAACGAAGAGGAGGCCAGGTGTGGTGGCTCACGCCTGTAATCCCAACACTTTGGGAAGCGGAGGCAGGCGGATCTTCTGAGGTCAGGAGTTCAAGACCAGCCTGGCCTACATGGTGAAACCCTGTCTCTGCTATTAAAAAAAAAAAAAAAAAAAAAAAAATTGGCCAGGCATGGTGGTTCACACCTGTAATCCCAGCACTTTGGGAGGCCAAGGCAGGCGGATCACGAGGTCAGGAGATCGAGACCATCCTGGCTAACACAGTGAAACCCCTTCTCTACTGAAAATACAAAAAAATTAGCTGGGTGTCGTGGGAACCGCCTGTAGTCCCAGCTACTCAGGAGGCTGCCGCAGGAGAATCACTTGCACCCGGGAGGTGGAGGTTGCAGTGAGCCAAGATCATGCCATTGCACTCCACCCTGGGCAACAGAGCGAGACTCCGTCTTCAAAACAAAACAAAAAAGAGAACAGGAAGGGTAGAGTAGGACAATCTAATATAGAAATAGGGCAAGAGGAATGAAGGAAACCTTGGACACAGTTGATTCCTAGTTAGTAAGTAGTGTTTAAGACCAAGGCAGCCCCTCCGTTCACTACTAAACACAGTGGATGACACACACACAGCAGGAGTACAATATTATATAACAAGTGAACATATGCCAAAAACTACAAAATGGAAGAGGTTCCCAAAGAAGAGGTTCCAACCTGAGATTCATTTCCTGGGGGAGAGAAGTATGACCGTGTCCCCACCCTATGAAAATATAGGTAATGGGGTCACTGTATAATACACTGGACACCAAACATGGAGTCGGGAAGCCATAAACTAGCTGTGGGACTCTGAACAGGTCCCTTTCACTTTTCTTTGCCTCAGTTTCCCCATGTATGAAATGGAGGTCATACCCCCATCTTCAAAGTGTGGACAAACTTTATAACACACGAAAAAAGTATTCAAAGACCATACAAATGAAAGCACATGATTGACATCACTACTTACATGTCTCATAAGCAATCTCAAACTTAACAGGCCCAAGATGAAATTCTCAATCATCCCCCAACACCTGCTCCTCACCCTTCCCACCTCAGTAAATGTCACCACTTCAGTACTCTGGGAACCATTCTTGGTTTTCCTCATCTAATCCATCATTCAGTCCTATTCACCCCTTTTTTTTTCTCCCCTTGAGACAAGGTCTTGCTCTGTCACCCAGGCTGGAGTGCAGTGGTGTGATCTCAGTTCACTGCAGCCTCGAATTCCTGGGTTCAAGGGGTCCTCCCACCTCAACCTCCCAAGTAGCTGGGACTACAGGCGCGGGCCACCACATCCAGCTAATTTTTTGTACTTTTTGTAGAGACGGAATCTTGCCATGTTGCCCACGCTGCTCGCAAACTCCCGGGCTCAAGCGATCCTCTCTTTGGCCTCCCAAAGTGCTGAGATTACAGCCGTTGGCCACTGTATCAGGCCCTTCATTCACTTCTATCTGCACTGTCAGCACCCTAGTGTAACAGAAAATCATCTCTCACATGATAATGAAGCAGCCAAAATGGTCTCTGGGCTTCTCCTGTGCTCTCTCCAGTCCAAACCAGGGCTCTAAACGCTTTAAACTACCCACTGTTCTTGAAAGAAACCAAACTTCTGAATCTGGCTTAAAAGGCCCTACATGATCTCTTCCCCTGCTGCTCCTTCAAACCTCTCTCCCCGTCCCTGACTGTGCCAGCACACTGGCATTTCTGTATTTCTCAACTGTGTTCTGCTTCCTCCTGACAAACTCTTACTCACCTTTTGGGTCTCATTTCAGAGGTGCGTCCCCGCCATGCACTCTCAGAGCACCCTGAAGTACTGAAGCATGTGTGTAGTTATTTTATTGTAAAAAATATAAAATCACAAACGGTTAGAAACCCAATCGACTCCATGAGGGGTAAGTACTGTCATCTGTTTGGTTCACCTCTGTATCCCCAGGAAAACAGGGTCCAGCACACGGTCTGGGCTCAATATTTGAACCCAGACGAGGTGACAAAGTAGCCACCTAAAAATCCTAACTCAAAAAGATAAAAGTTCTAACTGTATGTGGATGCCCATTTTATTTCAACTCTCTCCACCTCCGTTCTCAACGGCTCAGGCCAAACCATACATGGGGTCAGATACCTCTGGTCTCCAAGCTCAGGCAGCCCCCGCTGTCTTCCACCCCATAAAGTTCTAAGTCCAAAGTGAGCCCGTCCTAGCTCCGGGGCGAAAGAAAACAGGCCTCTTTCGCCCCTGCAGGTGAGGGTCCCAAACCGCCCGGAGGCAGGCTCCTCATCCAGACCTACTGGCCAGGACTCCTCCACACTATTCCGCGCAGCCGTGACGCACGCAGACCGCAGCACTTCGTCAGCGAAGAAGCCGCTGGGCGCGAGGCGCTTCTTCACGGCTTCTCAAGCACTGTTCAAACCGCGCGTCGGGCCCAAGTGCCTAGCTTCGCGTCACAAAGCCTCAGATGTCCATCCTATTAATGGAGAAGGGACTGAAAAGACGACGACCCCGGTCGTCTCTCTTTAAGAACCACCCCCATTCGAGCCTGACGGGGGCTCTCAATAAACTCGCGAGAGCCACCGGCTTCCGCCCGCTTCCTCCTCTCGGCTTGCCGGGCCGGAAGAAAGGTGGCACCTCCCACCCCCCCAGCCTCTACCTCACAAGGCAGCGCGGACCCAGCTGCGGCCAATCGGCGGGTTCAATGTAGGCTGCGGGGCAGAGAGCCAATGAGAAGTCGCGGCGGACGCAGAGCTTCTCCTCACTCGCACCGGCCCCCTCCCTTCCGTCCGCCGCCTTCCACTCCGCCCCTGGCGGAGGAAGTGATGTCACAGGCCCCATGTGAGCGGATTGCAACACATGCAGCTGCCTGGAGAGAGGGAGCCGGTGTCCTACGTCAGAGCCGCCGCCGCCGCGGAGCCGCCGCCGGGGAGGAGCAGCCGCTACCGCCCAGGACTGGGCCCTTAGGTAAGGCACGGGGAGGGAAACGCCGGCGACCTCTGTGGCGAGCTGCGCCGGGCGGGAGGAGAGGGCCTCTCGGGGGTAGCGAGGAAGGGGGCCGCTCTGCCCCAGCGGCGGCGCTAACTCTGTGGTCTTGGTGTCTCCGGGCCCCGCCGGGCCGCTCTAGGGAGGAGGAGGCGAGAAGATGGCGGACGACCCCAGTGCTGCCGACAGGAACGTGGAGATCTGGAAGATCAAGAAGCTCATTAAGAGCTTGGAGGCGGCCCGCGGGTGAGTGCCGCGTCCGGCACCCCCCGTGCCCTCTTGGTTCCCGGACCCCTCAGGATGGACGCCCCCGCGCCGCATGGCCAGATGAGGAGAACCAGGCACTAGCCAACTCCCGCCTTCTGGATCTCTGGGTAGTAGCCCCTGACCCAGAGGCGAGAGTCGGTGCGGTTGGCCCGAGAAGGGGTCCTTTCCCTGCATGGGGGTAAGGGGCCCGCGCTCCCCGGGTTTAGATCACTCGGCCCACGTAGTGGTAGGCCACCGCTACTTTTTACCCCTCCTGGGCCCTTAAGTCCAGCTCCTCCCTCTTAGGGCTCCAGGTGCTGCCATCCGACTCGGGTACTATTGTGGCAAAGTGCTCGGCCTTCCTTTCCCAACGCCCTTCCCTGATTTCCTCTTCTCCCTTCGTTCCTCAGCCAGGCCTCATTAAAATGGCCTCTCCCTCCTGGGCTTCTGAAACCCGGGTGGGTGAAGTTTGGATGGGACGGGAAGCAGAGGTGGTCAGGGACAGCTTCTTTCTGATTCGTGATTGCTCTGGGTTTTCCACCTGTCCCAAGATGACTTCTCCCAAGTCCTCTAATTACCCTGGAGCTTCCTGGTTTTAGCTGTTCCAGGACCCACCTATAGACTGAAAATGCCAACGTATGCGCGATGTAAGGAGTGTTGGGTAGGTTTTGGTTAATGAATCTGCATGTGTATGTCCAGGAGAAATACGGATCAGGAGGTCGTTTGATAGAAGTCATAACTACAGAGTCCCTGCTGGCATTTATCTGAAACTGGTGGGGATATCGCTGTAGAGAGGCTTCTAATGTACTTGATGCTTGTTGAGTGAGATTCAGAATTGAATTAAATGAGCTTTGAGTCTTGTACATTTTGATAAGAAACTGTAGGTGTGTCCATTGTGGGAAGAGTAGGCTAGATTAAAATTAACTGTATGTGTGTGTTTTGTTTTTAATGTTGTTCGTTTGAGGAAGGTGTGCCAGAGGTATTCCTGTTTCCTTTATTACTTTATTTTGTTCCTTTCCCAGTCATAGAAACTTTTTATTTACAGGAAGTGCCCCCCCCCAAAGAAAAAAGTGTTTGGAACATTATTACATACTTGTGTGTCTGAGCATTCTTAGAATAGTAGAATGGCCTGCCTCAGGCCATGTGAAAAGTTGATTTCAGCACAAGAATTTGACATTCTGGTTTCCAGCCCAGGATTGTCGTTTATGGGTAGATTTGCAATTTTAGAATGACGGCCCCTTCAAGCTCTTCATTATTACTGTTTTATGAAACAGGATGTGCTTAATTGTACTGAAGGCCCAGTTCACAAGTTGGTTTTGCTAGTGTTTTGTTCTTATTAAATTAGGGACAGTTCTGTTTGAAATGAGGCTTCTAAAAGTTTGGCCCCATTCAGTGACTTGGGCTTGTGCTCACTCCTTCGGTTTAATGGAGAAACGTTAGTTTAATATGAATCGCAGACAGCAGCATATTTTTTAGTCCTTAGGTTTTTCTTTAAATTTAATAGAATATTCAGACCTTCTTAATAATCTTACAGAAACTTGTGCCATATGGTAGAGTGAACAGTTATTCCCAAAATGTGAGAATACTGTACAGAAAGGATAATATAGGTCACGACCCATTATGTTGCACTACCAAGAATGAACCAGGTTCTTTTGTTTCAGTAAGATCTTCTGTTTTGTTACTTGAAGCTTTCTTTTTTTTTTTTTTTTTTTTTTTTTTGAGACGGAGTCTTGCTCTGTCGCCTAGGCTGGAGTGCAGTGGCCAGATCTCGGCTCACTGCAAGCTCCGCGTCCCGGGTTCACGCCATTCTCCTGCCTCAGCCTCCCGAGTAGCTGGGACTACAGGCACCCGCCACCTCGCCCTGCTAGTTTTTTGTATTTTTAGTAGAGACGGGGTTTCACCGTGTTAGCCAGGATGGTCTCGATCTCCTGACCTGGTGATCCGCCCGTCTCGGCCTCCCAAAGTGCTGGGATTACGGGCTTGAGCCACCGCGCCCGGCTTACTTGAAGCTTTCAATCCAGTATTGCATTTTATAGATTGCTGTTGTTGCAGTATTATATATAGGTGGATGTGATCTGTGGATTTGTTCTTACTACTTTCATTAGCAGGCAGGTTCACACATTTTAATTTGCATACGTTATATTCTCCGAAACAGTCCAGAAAATTAAATCATGACTATAATTTGCCTATTTGAATGAAGTAACATTGAAGATGACATTGCTTAATAAGTAACACCATTCCTTTCTACTGCTTGATGAAGGAAACTCATTCTTAAATTTTGTTCTACCCATATTTAGCGACTAGAAACTTTTAAGCCCCTCTTTAAGACTTTTGAAGGCTTTACCTCTTTGTTTAGCAAAGTTCAGTAGAGTTTAAAGCATGCTAAAAATTAAGTTGTAAGGCACAACTTGTTTTCCAAGTTGTTGAGTTTTGATATTTTAGACATGATTAAGCTGTCTAAAATAGCTGGAACATCTTCCTCTAAACATTGTGGTTAATAATCATGTCCTACTTTGCTTTTAATCAGGATTTGGTTGCATCTTGATCCCATGGAAATTTAAAATTTTGGCCATCTCTGAGTATTGATAATGGAGTCAGAAGATTCCCCAGTACATACCAGTTTTTGGACGTGGGGAATATTTTCATTGCCAACTTGTTTGTTAAAGTCAGACTCTAGATTTTCATAGATAGGGTACAGTGAAAAATGTTCTTCCTACTTTACCTAGTGATAAAATATTTTTAGGAGAATTGTAATGGGCTTTAAAGACAAAGGGAATGGCAAAATGAATCTGTATTTGCTGATGTTTTGGGGGTACTCTGGTTTTCAGGAGGAAAACTGAGGTTGTTTTCAGGCATGGTTGTTAGCACAAGATAGTGAGACTTAGTGGTGGAGTAACAGTATTGTTTTGGAAATGAAAAAGCCCTTTCCTCCTCTTAGCAGTGTAGAATTCTAGGCATGGGAATCAAGGATTGGTTTTTAACAGTAGTTATTAAAAGATGCTAGAATGAGAGTGATTTTGAAATTAAGATAATCTTATGTGGTTATCTCTTGACATATGACCCAAATTTAATGTAGCTTGAAAAAGAAACCACCTGCAAAATGGGCTCACTAACTACATATGAATAAAGGGAAGTATGTTGGCAAAATAATTTATTAAGCACATACCATATTATGGACTGTGCTACAGTACATTATTAAGTCATTTAATCCTCACAAGTATTGCCACCATTTGGTAGACAAGGCACCTGAGGCTAAGAGATAATTTGTCTAAGATGTCACAGCAAAAATGTAGCAGAGTTCAGAACTTAAACCAATGTGCTATACGAGGTATATTTTATTTTCAGAAAATACAAAACTAGATTTCCTTAAAATGTAGTCTGAGCTATAACAAATTCTATTTTATATTACATGTGTGTGGAAGAGCATTTATAGAGGCCAAATTACTAAAATGGGGAACTTGATAGCGTTCTGTTTTGTAACCAGCATCATATTTAATCTTCTGAGTTGAAAGGAGTGTCATGCATAAACTTGATTTTTAATTTGGGTAGAACATTGTTATTTGGTTTCAGATAAGCCTGGTCGAATGTTAGTTTGTGTGTGCTAGTAAAATAACCAGTTAATTATGTTGGTAGACATAGGCCCCACTTAAAGTTGATGGTAGTTCTTCCCTGTTCATGATTGCTCGTGGTATATTCTCCACAGTTGGCTAATGAAGGACAAATGTATATGTAAACCAATACTGTGGTTGAGGGTATCTTGAATAAGGAACTGAAACAGATGAACGTATGTTGGAAAAAGCGGGAGAATTATTGGTTGTTTTTTCTCTTGGTGTTTTCTGTGCAGGCGTGTGGTGGCCTCAGAAATAGTTTTGGGCACTATCGTTTTAAGGTAATGTTAATAAAATCATAACTAGAGCCTGTCCTAGCCAGGGACAGTGGTGAATATGACAAAGGAATGGACAGTGTTAGTTTGGGTTAGGTTGTGTCGGTGGGTGTTAAAATGTCTTTTCACTTATCTTCACTAAGAAACCTCATGTGTTTCATATCTAATGAACTCTTGGTCAGATAACCCTCATAGCCATAACCCTTGTTTGAAGGTCAGTGCAGCTTGCAAACTTTTGCTGTAGTGTTTGGGCATTTTAAAAACTGGTTACTTAAAAATAACTTGTTGATATCTTAACTCTAAATGAAATAAAATTAGTTGTTCCTGCCCCCAAATATAACCATTTTTAAAGAATTCCCACTGAATTCCTCACATTATACAGATTTAAAAGTTAATGTTTTGGCAAGATCATTGAATAGGTTAATGTTTTAAATCTTAGAGATAATATGAACAGCTTGCTTAATTTATATACTTTGAATAAATTAAGGTATGTTGGATGTGTTTGAGTACCTTCCCTAAGTAAAAATTGTTGGTTAATAGAATATTCACCTAAATGGTGGTGGTAATAATGTTCTCAAAGCACTGAATTTCACATTTTTTTTTCCCCCCTCACTATCCTCGAAGGGCTGGTTGTAGCTAAAGTGCTACTTTGTGGTCTTTGATA